GGAAAATGGATGGAATTGAAGATCATCATGTTAAGTGAAATAAGACTTAAAAATATTGCATTTGTTCTCTCATGCATAATCAATATTAAAAATATATATGGAGAATATTAGAGTGTGCATATGCGACACACACACACATTATCTATGAAAGTAGGAGCAGACAGCAATGGCTCAAAAGTCAAGGCACTTGCCAGTAACCCCGAGGACCCCAGTTCAATCCCCAGAACACACTTGGTGAAAGGAGAGAACCAACTCCAGAAAGCTGTCCTCTGACCTACGTACACACTGTCCCACACCACACACACACAAATACATTTTTTGAAAATATTTGATTTACCTGCATGATGACAAGCAAATGCTGACTGAACATGAAGATCTTAATTAGCTCTGATGTTGAAAAAATATTTATTATTTTTATTTTACGTGTATGAGTGTATCGCCTGCATGTGTGCAAGTGCACCTGTCATGTAATGCCTGCAAAAAAGGCATCAGATCCCTTGGAACTGGAGTTATGGATGGTTGTTAGCCGCCATGTGGGTGCTGGGAATCTAACCTGGGTCCTCTGAAAGAGCAGTCAGTGCTCTTAACCACTGAGCCACCTCTTCAGCCCCAGAATAAATTTTTTGAAGCATTTTTTAATTATTTTTATTTTATGTGTATTCGTGTACTGCCTGCATGTAGGTGAGGGCACCCATGTTGTGCAATGCCCACGGAGGACAGAAGAAGCTGTCGGATCCCCTGGAACTGGAGTTACGGACAGTTGTTAGCTGCCATATGGGTGCTGGGATTCGAACCCGGGTTTTCTGCAAGAAAAGTCAATGCTGTTAACCACTGAGCCATCTCTCCAGCCCCCCAGAATGAAATTTTAAAATACATAAAATGTAGAACAGATATAGATGACATAATCCTCTTTGGTCCAGATATTTTGCCCATTTTTAAAATCACCTGAGGAACAGCTCACAGCCTGCATGTGGTATCACACACCAAACATAGTCACCAGAAGTGTCAACCATGCCAAACTACCAGATTATATTATATGCACAAATTGCCCTACTAAGAAAACAATCAGTAGTTTCCATACACAGAAATAACCCAGTATGACAATAGGATGAATGAGGGAATGTCCGCCCAGTACTACAAACAACATAAAAGCTGGAGGAATATACTTAATAACATATTTAAACTGACATGAAGAAAAAAGTATAAGACATCCGGACATGCTTAAAGGAGAGGTGGACACAGGGAGGGAACTCCTCTGTCAGAGGAGAGCAGCATCAGACTGCTGCCCTGAGCAAGGCCATACTTGACTGCAAGCCCAACAAAGTCACATGAGCTTCCCATGCAGCAAGGTTGGCTTAGAGGAATGTTCGCATTTGCAGATGAACAAAAATTGGGAGAAAAATGCCCCACAGGAGGGCTGAGTGTACAGGAGCACAGCCACACTGGGCATGCCTCCAGGAAGTGAGTGCACTTTCAGTAGCACAGCCGCACTGAGTGCACTTCCAAGAAGCACCTCCGAATTCAGTGCAGAGGAAGGCCAGCTGATAGTGTTATATGCAGAGACTGGTGAACAGAAACAACCAGGAAGTAGAGGGTCCCTTCACACAACCCAAGACTTACAGAGTGGAGGGGTCATTTATACATACACAGGAAATAAAGGGGGTGGGTAGGTATAACCCAAAAGCCAGTAGAGAAATGGACAAAAGGTACAAACGAAATTTACAGAAGCTTCCCTGGAAACCCAGACATTCTTCTTTGCTCTTACAGGAAGCAGGTGGAAGCGTACCAGGATGACTGTCGCACTAGAGGCCTGAGCTAATACAGAAGCTGGTTCCAGAGAGCGAGGTGCTGCTGTGAAAAGCCTGTTCATGTTGTTTTGGGAAGAATGGAGAAGACATTAGAAATTTGTACTAGAAAAGCAGTTGAATGCTATTAAGTAGAGCCTGATGGCCATTCTAGTAGAAGTCTGGAAGACAGGAGGGCTGACAGTAATTCTCACTGTGGAGTCTCAGCTCAAGAAGTTTCAGAGGGGAACCAGTTCTCTATTAGCAATTGGGCTAGAGGCCATTCGAATGATATTTTGGCAAAGAATCTTGCTGCCTTCTGCCTGTCCTAAGAACTTGCCTGAGACTAAATTTAAAAATAATGGACTAGGGGCTGGAGAGATGGCTCAGCGGTTAAGAACACTGCCTGTTCTTGCAGAAGAACCGGGTTCGAATTCCAGCACCCACATGGCAGCTAACAACTGTCTGTGACTCCAGTTCCAGGGGATCCAACAGCCTCTTCTGTCCTCCATTTTAAAAAGTTTAAAAAAAAGTTAAAAAAATAATGGACTAATATCCTTAGAGGAGGAATTTTTTTTTTTTTTTTGGTCTTTTTGAGACAGGGTCTCCCTGTAGCCCCAGCTGTGCTGGATTCACTATGGAGACCAGTCTGGCCTCAAACTCACAGAGATCTGCCTACCTCTGCCTCCCGAGTGCTAGGATTAAAGGTATGTGCCACCACGCCCGGCTTAGAGGAGGAAATTTTAAGACAGCATAACAGTAAGTCTCTCTGATGTGGTTATTACTCATAACTCTTCTGTGTCTACAGTAAAAACAAGTGAATGGGTAGAAAGAAATACAAATGCACAGTCTGTCAAGAAGAAGAGTGCTAGGGAGCTTCATGTTGCAGCCAAGATGTCCTACTTGGCACGATCAAATACTCTGACCATCCAACCTTAGGAAGAAAGAGTTTATGTGGCTTACACATCCCCATTACATTCGTCATTAAGAGGGGCAAGTGCAGGAACCTGCAGGTGTAGACCACGGAGGAATGCTGACTGGCTTGCTCCTCTAGCCTGTGCACAGCCTGCTTACTTTCACAACCCAGGACCACCTTGCTCAGGGTAGTCCCACCCACAGTGGGCTAGACCCTCCCACATCAACCAGCAATCAAGAAAATGCCTCAGAGACATGTCCACGGGCCAGTCTAATGGTGAAAAATCCTCAGTTGAGAGTCCCGAGAGTGTCAAGTTAACAACTGAAGCCAACCATGACACAAGGCCTGTGTTGAAACAGAGGCTTTAATTGTTAAGATTAATCCATTAAGAGGCCTCTTGCTCTACATTGAACAGTGGGAGGGCAAGACCCCACCCAGCTAAGCTTGTGCAGGGAGAACGCCTAAGGGGTTGCTTGCTCCTAGAAAGCAAAGGCTTCCCCATACAAAAGCGGCTGTTAATGTGGTTGAAGGGGACCAGGGTCAATACCAAACTGGTAGCTGAACTTGGCATCCATGAGGTACTGGCTTTCAAACCATGAAAGATACAAGACTGGGAGATCATAAAATCTTCCTTTGAGGTTTCAGAGAGCTGCTGAGGCCAAGCAAGGTGTGGCAGGGGAGTTCCTGCAAGGCCATGAGAGGCTATTGCATGAAGCGGTGAAGGTCCAGTCTGGGTTGCAGTGGAGACCCCACGATGCTGGAGATGCCACAGCCGCGAGACATCTGCCAAGGAGAGATGCAAACGGAGTGGTACCAAGAAAGAGATGCATGTTGCAGGCAGCAACACTAGAGGGACAGTCATCTGAGCCCCTTGAAACTAACGTCCTCGACACTGGGCATGGAACTATAGGGCTCAGGATTTTCCCTGCCGGGTTTTTCTTGCTTTTGTCCCATATTTCTCACTCTGCCCCCATTCCTCCCTTTTGGAACGTGCCACTGTATGTTGGAAATGTGTGATTTGATTTTTGCTTTACACAGGGTCACAGTTAAAAGACTGCCTTTGAGTATCAAAAGAGATTTTGAACTTTTTAAAAAATATTTTATGTGTATACGAGTGTTTTGCCTGCATGTAAGTGCACCCATGTTGTGCAGTGCCTGGGGAGGTCAGAAGAGGGTGCTGGATCCCCTGGAACTGGAGTTACAGATGGTTGTTAACTGCCATGTGGGTGCTGGAAATTGAACCCATGTCTTCTGCCAGAGCAGCCAGTGCTCTTAACGCTGAGCATCTCTCCAGGCCCAGTATTGAAAGTGTTGAAGACTAAGGGGACTTTTAATCTTGCACTAAGCGCATTTCACATTATGACTTTGATGCTATGGAAGCCAGAGTAGAATGTGGTGGTTTGAATGAGAATGTCCCCCATAGGCTCATGTATTTGAACACGTGGTCCTCTGGTGGAAGCAGCATTGTTTGGGCCTTTAGGAGGGACAGCCTTACTGGAGGAGGTAAGTTACGGGGGTGGACTTTGAGGTCTCATAGCCTCACCCCATTTCCATTTTGCTGTCTCAGCTTCCTGCTCTGGCCATCTGATGCTATGCTTTTTCCCCCATATGGACTCTATTCCTGTGGAACTGTAAGACGAAATAAACTCTAAGTTGCTTTCTGGTTGTGCTGGATAGCTTTAGTGTCAACTTGACACACCTGGAGCCTCAATTGGGGAATTTCCTTCATTGGACTGGCCTGTGGCCATGTCTGTGGGGCACCTTCTTGATTGTTGTGTGATGTTGGAGGGCCCAGCCCACTGTGGGTGGTGCCACCCCTGGGCAGGTGGGCCTGTGTTGTATAAGAAAGCAGGCTGAGGGACTGGAGAGATGGCTCAGTGGTTAAGAGCACTGACTGCTCTTGCAGAGGACCTGGGTTTGATTTCCAGCACTCACGTTGGCTACGAACCATCCTTAACTCCAGTTCAAGGGGAATCCGATGCCCTCTTCTGACCTCCAAGGTATTGCACAACACAGGTGCACTCACATGCAGGCACTACAGTCATACACATAAAAAAAAAATAAATAAATATTAAAAAAAAAAAAAAAAAAAGGCTGAGCAGGGGCCAGGGGATCAAGCCACTAAGCATCGTTCCTCCATGGCCTGTGCTCCAGCTCCTGGCACCAGGTTCCTGAACCGAGTTCCTACCTTGGGCTCCCTGATGAACTGTGCTGTGACCTGGAAGATGTAAGCTGAATAAACCCTTTCCTCCCCAAGTTGGTAGTGGTCGGAGTGTTTTGTCACAGCAATGGAGAAACAAACTAGGACACTGGTCATGGCATTTTAACACAGCAACAGAAAAGTAACTAATGGGATTAACTGCACAGGCACTGGGACTGAGAACAAAGCTCAGTGGTACAATGCTAGCCTGGCATGCATGAGGTCCTGAATTTAATCCCCAGTGCCATGAAACAGTGCTATAGACATGGCCTATGACTGCTCACACGTTTATGTGTAGGTGTGTGTATGCACATGTATGCATGTAGTCATGCTTGTACTTGTTTACAGAAGGGCCTAAGAGCAGACATCCCAAGAGTAACAAGAACACTCAGCCCCAGATCTTGCCCTAAAACAATTCCTCACACAAAAGGGCCCAGGCCCCTTGAGACACTGCTGATCCCAGAGGCCCAGAAGGACACCTGGGTGTGTAGTAAATCGGGAAGTGCTCAAAGAAAGGGGCATGTCCCAAAGTCAGAGCAGTGTGACAGGGCTCCCACTGAGCACGTCTCATACCATGTGAACATCAGAATTAGGAATGACTCACAGACCATCAAAGTCGTGTAGTAATCCATAATAATCCATGCGTGCAAGGAATGTGAGCAAGTACTGATAACAAACAGGGAAATAAATGGGGGAGGAGAGGGCGTGCTGTTGTGGGATGCCGAATGCTGGCTGGGGACTAGGAAGAACTGGAGTCTGAGGCCTGCCCTCCACCTGCCATGGAGACCCCTGCAGAAGGGATCAGGTTTGTTACGGACAGAGTCTGGGAAAGACCAAAGGCCATGCTCCAAACAACCTGTTCTCAAAAGCTTAGAAAATGCTGGATAGCTCAGTTAGAAAAGTACTTGCCTTGCAAACATGAGGACCTGACTCCAACCCCTAGAACCTCCGTAAGAAAGAGGCCAGGCATGTGGGGCATGCTTCTAATTCCGCACCTGGGGAGGCAGAGACAGGCAGATCCCTGGGGTTCGTTACTGAGCCAGCCTCCATGATTAGTTCCAGGCCAGTGAGAAACCCTGTCTCAACAAAGAACGGTAGATGATGCCTGGGGAACAAAATTCAGGGCTACCCTCTAATCTCCACACACATGTGCACAGGTACTTGCATACCCACATGCCAACATTCATATGAACACATGCAGTTACAGTTACACAGAAGGCTCAGAAGAGCACTGTCTTTACACCTGTACGGTATGCTGTTCACTCTGTGCTGTGCATGTATGGTATCTGCAGTGTGTGTACAGGTATGAGCATACGTGGTGTGTGGCTGTGTACTGGATGCATAATATGTATGAATTCATCCACACATGCACACAGCATCTGCCATCTTCATGGCTGGGACTGTCCCACTTCACAGATGTGTGTTCAGTGTAATTTTGCAGGGCCAGTAGCTTCTATCATGACACCTGGGCAGACTGTCACCAGAAGTAGCCACAAGATGCTACACAAGGAAAGCATTTGTAGTTTTATCCTTGTTCCTATGAACACGTTTATGTCCTAAAATTTAATCTGAAATGAGGACGGCAGGCCTGTGAATACAGAGACTGCAGTAGGCAGGGGAGGTGCTGCTCACTGCTGAGGCCACGGGCAGCAGAGGGCCACAGCATAGCTAGGATGCCAGAGTCCCAGGCTGGCTCTCTGTTGCCTCTTGGTTATGAATGGTGCCCAGTCTGAACTATGAATGATTCTGTGGACCATCCAACCATGTCAGACAGGTCTGAGCAGGCCACTGTCACCTTGGTGGTAGCGCTTGGGCTCCATGTTCTCTCTCAGCCCTGTGCCCTGGGTGTGGCTGTGGCAGGAGTGAACACTAAGGGGCATGTTGGAGATCCTTTGGTTTATTTTCCCAAATCACTTCACGGAGCTGGAGAAGTGACCACATTGATGCTCCTGGAGGATGCTGCTTCAGGTGGCCCTCCCAACCCTCATGCTGGCCTGATCAGTCTCTCCAGAAGCACCAGCTTTGTCTGCAGGTTGACCTCAAAGGGTGGCAGTTTGGTCAGGTTCAGACTCACATCTGTAGTACCCGAGATGCTGGCCAGGACCCGGTGTGTATCCCTGTAGAGGGCCAGGTGCCTAGGTGATGCCTCCATGAGGATGTGTGTATAGTCCAGCATGCCTGCTGTCCCTGGCTGCACATCTTCCCTCTTGTCATACCTGGGAGACACAAGACCTGTACCCACCGCACTCATCCTTGCCTAAATCTCACACCACTCCTCCCCACCAGGTGCCACTTAGGGGGCCCATACGTAGCTTCTGTGAGGAATAGCCCCACCTGCAGCTACAGCACTCCAGAAACAGACCTCCAGTCGCTGTTGACCTGTAGAAACCTTGACACGCCTGTCTGAGCAGCAGCCACATCAATGTGCAGGAGGACATCTGGGAAAACCACATCTGAGTTAGAAGCCAGCACCAGCACCTCAGCCAGGGCTAGCCTGGTTCTGGGCAGCAACCTGCACCAACCTGTCTGGGGTGGCACCAGGTCATGTAGCTGCTGCATTGCGACACCACCAGGATAGTTGAAATGTGACACACAGAGGGATGTGGCTGTGTATGCTGCATTTATGACGAGATGTCCTATCACGAGCAGAGTCCCCACCTTGTATAGCCATGACTTCTTATAGTTATTCAGCCTGAGAAGAGAGTAACACTCCACGGAAGGATGTGCAGGCAAGAATGAGGTATCCAATCCCAACTACGGATATCACCCGCTCAACTTCACCAAGTCATTAGGAGCAGGGAATTTAGTCACCAAGGATACACTTGGGTAATTAGCCTAGAATAAATGGACTTTGAAATTGCTTTTGCTAAAAACCACTAGCTCCTCACCTGGACTCACAAGGTAACTAAAAACAGGATAAAGTCTGGCCTCTCCAGGTTCATTTTGCGTATCTTCTTAAATCCCTGGGTCACTCGCCTGCTTAATTCTGCATGTAGCTATGTCAGTCACTCAAGGGTGTCTGTCTAAACACTGGTGATAGCTGACCCATTTCATCTCCCTTCAAGGTTGAAAGTTCAAAGACTGAGGTATCTTACTGTCAGCTCTGACGATGTCCTACTCCAACCCCACAGAGGGTACCAGAAGGTCTCCAGTCACTGTCCTAAACCTACAGTCACCATGGTTTCCAAAAAGAACCGAACCCCACAGACAGATCACCCATAATGAGCTCACCCTCCAAGTAGGAGCAGTCACCTCATGGTAACTGGACGGTCCCCTCAAGCAGTGAGGACCCTGCAGAACCAGAACTGATAACATCAACGAGACCACACTGTGACCAAGACTACTTCATCATGCAGACCTCTCCTCACGATTAATTCTGTTTAAATGTGAAGCTCATGTCAGCGTCCTGATGGACCTGGGTTACTGAACCCTTATCTGTCCTTTGTAATGTGGCCATGGTGGTTGTGTCTCCTCTCTCTGCCCTGCACCATTCACCTCTTTTTTTTTTTTTTTTTTTTTTTTTCCAGTCTTTTTGAGACAGGGTCTCCCTGTAGCCCCAGCTGTCCAGGAACTCACTAGTAGACCAGGCTGGCCTTGAACTCACAGAGATCCACCTGCCTCTGCCTCCTGAGTGCTGGGATTAAAGGCATGAGCCACCACGCCAGGCTTTTTAAACAGTGGTTAGATGCCAGGAAGTAGGTGGCGGTGCCTTAACCATATGCGTGTTATTAGGCCCAAGGGCCTCTTCCATCCTTGTCAAGAAGAGTGCTAACTTTCTTTCCTTTCATACAACACCACTGTTCACCTCTTTAACTTGCATATGGGGATGGGCAGCCGAGCCTAGTCAGTTGGGACTACTCAGCCGGGTGTTTGCCTTAAAACTCAAATAACAAAGTGAGTAAAATGCTATCTTAAGAACTCTGTAGCTGGGTGCAGTGGTACAGGCCTGTAATCGCCACCTGGTTGAGGAAGGTTGAGGGCAAATCCGAAGCCAGTCTGGGACACACAGTGAGACTGTCTCCCAACAAGAAAATGGCCAGTGAGATGGCTGGGTAGGTAAAGGCATGTGCTGTACAACCCTGGTGAGCCAAGTACAATCCCCAGAACCCACAGAAAGGTGGAAGGAGGAATGGAAAGGAATGGGGTCTTCCATGTAGCCCAGGCTGGTTTCAAACTCTGGATCTTCCTTCCTCAGCCTCCTGAAACTACGTTTACAGGTGAGCGTGCAGTACCATGCTCAGCTCCAAGAGTCTTTGACTTTCCCAGTCCCTCTGGGAACAGTTTCAAGTGCACTAAGTCCCCTGGCCTAACTCTGTTAGCTATTCACCTGCACTGATCTATTCTTTTAAAATTATCTATTTATATTTTTATTGTTGTTTGCTGTTGTTTTTTAAGACAGGACCTTACTACGTAGTCCTGGCTGGCCTGGAACTTGCTATACAAACCAGGCTGGCCTCCGCCTCCAAGCACTGGGACTAAAGGCATGCGCCACCACACCCAGCTGTTTATTTTTTGAGACAGCGTCTCCTGTAGTTCAGGCTGGCCTGAGATAGCTGTACAACCAACAAAGACCCTGAACTTCTAGGCCTCTGCCTACCCGCCCCTCCTGAGAGGTGGGATCATAGGCATCACCACAGCCAGTTTATATGGTGCTGGAGACTGAACCCAGAGCTTAGTGCAGGCTGGGCAGAGACTCTACCAGCCGAGTTACATACTAACCCTCTTCCTTAAATTTATTTTGAGACAGGATCTCATACATAGCTCAGGTTGGCCTGAAATGAGACTTACATCCCAGCCTTTATAAAAGAGACTCTTGGCACAATTTCGCCCATCCCACCCAATCAAGGGACCTGAACAAACTCTAAGAGAGTAAGGTCACATCCCTGGGATGAGCCCAGCCTCCAACTTCCTGCCCAAGGGTTCAGTGTGTGAGAACCTGCTGTGAGGCCAGAGTCCCCAAGCAACTGTCTTAGAAATCTGTGATTACACAGCCTTTCTCTGTCCACAGATGTAAATCTATCACCTAGCACTGCAGCAGGCCTGGGAGGCTATCTGAAACCCAGACACCTGGTCCTTACCCAGGAAGAGTGCCTGACTTCAGTGGGGGCCTGGCTCCAGCTTGTGCTGCTGACAGGTGAGATGTGAGAGACCAGATCACCCTCTGGTTCAGGGCCATATCACATGTGTGACCCTTCCAGTCCAGCCAGGTAGTCTCCTGCCTCCAGTCTTAGCAAAGCTGAGCTCAGTACACACTGGACCCTTCACTCTGTTGCAAAAGTTCATGACTGGGAATGGTGGTACATGCCTGCAACCCCAGCTGCTTAGAAGGTTAAGGATCACAAGTTAGAGGCCAATCAAAAAGAGAGGGGAGAAAACATCTATAAAATCTAGTCCTGCCGGGCGTGGTGGTGCACACCTGTAGTCCCAGCATGGGAGGCAGAGGCAGGCGGATCTCTGTGAGTTCAAGACCAGCCTGGTCTACACAGTGAGTTCCAGGACAGCTGGGGCTACAGGAAGACCCTGTTTCAAAAAGGCCATACTAAGGGCACCTGGTTTCACCAGTACTCCCTAAGCCTCATTCTCTGCCCTGACTTAGATCAGGGTCTGCACAATCCACAGAGCCCTGAGCTGCCCCAAGGCAAAAAGCAGACAAAGGCAGGAAAAAAGAAAGAAAAAGCAAATTGTGATGTGAGTGTGAAGGTGTGCATCACAGGTTCATGCATCAAAAACTTTGTCCCCAGATGGTGGTGGGATTTTGGGAGACTCCTGTCCAGATAGATGGTCAGTCTCACCAGAGAGAAAGACTGTGGACTGAAATCTCTCACCCTGTGAGCTAAAGTCTACTGCTTCTTTCAGTATTTGGTCACAACCACAAGAAAATTTATGAGGCAGGTCTTATTAAAATCTGCTCGCCTTGGGAAATAGCAGTGAACACCTGAGAGCCTGAGCTAAGAGCTGAAGCAGCACTGAGGGTCAGCCCCTTCCCTCTAACAGGTGTTCTGGGGAAGAGGAGGAACAGAGGACACCTCTGCCCACTGCCTGGGCTCACACATTCCCCTGAGAGGTCACACTGAGGCTTTTCCAACTACCAGAGAACATGTCTGAGCCTCTCCTGGGACCTGGTCCACCTGGGCCCACCCCTCCAGGGACCCTAGCTCTGCCCCTCAGCACACTAGCCAGGCCCACTGGTTCCCAGCCTCCACCAAGATGGCGAGTCCTCAACATGGCCCAAGGCTGCCCTGTTTTAGCTCCCAGGATCTTCTCCATGTCTAGATGAGCAAAGGAGTACAGTGGACCTATGTCTGTGGAGCCTACAACACTGTGAGCTAGCCACATCAGCCCAGGAAACCCTCCTCACACCCTACCTGCCACCTTGCCACCTGTATTGGTGGCCCTCATTGCCTGCTAGACCCCACCCCCACCGCCTACTAACCCCCCCCATCATCTTCTGGACCTCCTTTGTTACCTGCTGCTTTACCTCCTGCCCACACTGCCCACTGTTCCTGTCCCCATCAACTCCCACATCACCTTCCACATGAGCCCAAGCCAGGGCCTCACTGTACTCTCCATGAGGAACTAAAGGCACCACCTGACCTTCTCCCTCCTCCAGCCATCCACCAGCCTGGACCCCTCGCCTCCAGAGTTCCCACCTGATCGGTCATTAGCAGAGACCACTCTAGGACCAACCACCTCACAGCTTCGAAGGCCTGTCTTAGCCACCTGTCATGCATCTTTCCCCATGACCAGCCCTGGGATAGGTAAGAGGTACTGGGCAGAGACAGAAGCAAGGCTTACAAGCACAGCACCTGAGGAGAGACAGCCAAAATCTGCCCAGGCAGCTCTCACTGGAGCAGTGCTCTCTCAATGCTAGTACTTGAATTTAAGTGTACATTTTTTTGCCTTAATAAACCCCACGCATTTTTTCTTAATAAATTCCAACTTTGCTTCCTGAAACTCTACTCCCATTTTCAAACAGCAAACCTATTTCTGGTGTTGTTTTGTTTTTTTGAGACAGGTTTCCCTGTAGCCCCAGCTGGCCTGGAACTCACTATATAGACCAGGCTAGCCTTGAACTCACAGAGATCCGCCTGCCTCTGCCTCCCGAGTGCTGGGATTAAAGGCTTGCACCACCATGCCTGGCTCAAACCTATTTCTAATGAAACTTTAAAAACATCAATCAGGGGACTGGAGAGATGGCTCAGCAGTTAAGAGCACTGACTGCTCTTGCAGAAGACCTGGGTTCGATTCCCAGCACCCATATCGCGGCTACCAACCATCCTTAACTCCAGTTCCCAGGGAATCTGAAGCCCTCTTCTGACCTCCACGGCACTGCACGACACAGGTGCATTCACATACATACAGGCAATACACTCTTACACACAAAATAAAAATAATAAATAAAATATTTTAAAAAAATCAATCAGCTGGGTAATCCACAGCGCCCCAGAAAACACACTTAAATGCAAAGCAGACAAGCATTTCAGGGATGGAGTGCTCACACATAGGCACAGCCCCTGGCGGCGACGATGTTGAGTACTGGGAAGGTGTAGATGATGAAGCGCAGCTCCTTGTGTGGCAGAAGCGAGTAGAGAGCCACAAAGCCCAGGCTGGGCAAGGCCAGGGCACAGACCCTCCTGTCCACAGCGCCCAGGGGTATGAAGAAAAGACTGCAGCCCAGGCCTCGGGGCAAAGCCGAGTAGAAATACCATAGGAATGGGGAGGTCTTCAGGTCAGGGTCAAGGAGAACACACACGTCAGGGATCTGCTGCTGCCGCCTCCTTGCCGGAACCAGGATGGTGTCAGCACCAAGGTTGAAGTGGCCCCAAGGACAGTTATAAAAGGCACAGCAGAAACCTCTGCAGGGCTGTGGGGATGCTCAACCCTCAGGCACAGCAGGGCCAGGCCTCAGCACACCCTTCCAAACAAGAGGGTTAAGGGAGTCCTTTCCCTTTCCCTCCTTTCTTCGCTATGCCGGCCATGCTGTCCTTTCTAACCATGAGTACATTGAAACGCTCTATAGTAAACTTTTTTTTTTTTTTTTTTTTTTTTTTTTTTTTTTGGTCTTTTGGAGGCAGGGTCTCCCTGTAGTCCCAGCTGTCCTGGAACTCACTATGTAGACCAGGCTGGCCTTGAACTCACAGAGATCCGCCTGCCTTTGCCTCCGGAGTGCTGGGATTAAAGGCATGTGCCACCATGCCTGGCTTATAGTAAACATTTTTAAAGGCAGACTGTCATGAGGACTGAGGGCAGGACTGGGAGATGTCACAGTAGGGTAGGCAGAAGGCAACCAGGCCACTACACCACCGAGGGCCAGCGTTCCAGGTGTGAGCAGCAGGACAGGCTCTGGTCCTGACCTTCTAGCAGCTAGCTACCCTACCTGTGCCAGGGCCACTCAGCTGACAGAGAAACAGAAGGGAGGTCAAGACCACAGGGCTGCCCAGACCACATACCCCCACACCGAAAGGATACACCCCAGTTGGAACTTTTGTTCAAGACAGTGTTATACCACAGCACCTCTCCCTCTGGCCATACAAGGTATTGCCAGAAATAGGAGTCCACAGCAACTGTCAGTCCTAGTAACAGAGCAAAAGTGTCCTCAGCAATGAACATGGATGGCCACCTGAAAAGCTTGGGCCTCAACCACATCCTGCACTGCGGTCAATGCCCCCACAAAGGGCCAGTCGTGGAGCTAGTGGTGTGTGACACCATGACCCACCAAGCTTCTTCCTTTAGCCTAGAATACACGGCCGTCTTCCTGCTTAGCCAAGCAGTTTGAAGGGCAGTGGGTGGGTGGAGGCCCCTGGACTGGGAACCACCACTAAAGACAGTGCTGATATGTTTTATGACTGCCAAAGTCAACATCTTATTTAAAAAAGTTTGGGGTTCGAGAGATGGCTCAGTGGTTAAGAGTGCATACTACTCTTCCTGATGACCCGAGTTCAGTTCCCAGCACCCACATCAGGAGGCCTACAACCATCTATAACTCTAGTTCCAGTGTATCTGACACCCTTGTCTGGACTGTGGGCACCTGCACTCACACATGCACATTCCCCACAGGCAGACAGACAGGACACACACACACACACACACACACACACACACACACACACAGAGTTAAAAATAAATCTTGGCTGGGCATGGTGGCACATGCCTTTAATCCCAGCACTTGGGAGGCAGAGGCAGGCGGATCTTTGTGAGTTCGAAGCCAGCCTGGTCTACACAGTGAGTTCTGGGCTAGCTGTGGCTACAGAGCGACCCTGTCTCAAAAAGACCAAAATTAGATAAGAATAAATAAATAAAATAAATCTTAAGAAAATAAAACAAATTTTGGGGCCAAGGAGATAGGTAAAGGTACTTGCCACCAAACCTGACTGTATTAAGTCCCTGGTGGAAGGAGAGCACCAACTCCCACAAGTTCTCCCCCAAGTGCGTGCTGTGCACGTGTATACACACAAAATTTAAAAATTAAGATGCCGTTTAAATTAAAAAAAAAAAAAAACCAAGGTAGACAGCTCCTTACGAATGATACTAAGATTGGCCTCTGGCGTCCACATGCACATACACCAAAACTCAAATAGGCATATTTGGTTTTTTTCTTTTTTTTTGGTCTTTTTGAGACAGGGTCTCCCTGTAGCCCCAGCTGTCCTTGAACTCACAGAGATCTGCCTGCCTCTGCCTCCAAAGTGCTGGGATTAAAGGCATGTACCAGCACACCCAGCATGTGCACCTTATTTCTGAGGTGTCTCTCACTGGCCTAGAACTTGCTGACTAGGCTAGACTGACTGACTAGCAAACCCCAGGGATCTGCCTATCTCCAGCACTGGAATTACAAGTGTGCCATCACACACCCAACTTTTTTTTTTGGTCTGTGAGACAGGGTCTCCCTGTAGCCCCAGCTGGCCTGGAACTGGCTATGTAGACCAGGCTGGCCTCGACTCACAGTGATCCGCCTGCCTCTGCCTCCTGAGTGCTGGGACTAAAGGCGTGCGCCACCACGCCCACCAAACTGGCATATTTGTAATCTCAGCACTGTGGAGGCTAAGACAGGAGCATCCATCCTGGGCTAATAGTGAGACTCTGTCTCAAAACACCAGAAACCAAGACCAAAGCAAACAGACAAACCCCAGAGAAGCCTACTTGCCTAGACAGAGAACGCCTGCTGGGATGGCATGCCAGAACAGTCTGGATATAGACATCCTTCTTCTGTACAGGGTCAGCAGCAACATAAGGCCCAGTAGCAGGCACAGCTCTGCCCTGAAGACGATGATGGCGAAGGCTGAGAGCCAGACGAAGAGGGCCCACCTGTGCTTCAACCAGGCTGTGACGGCTGGGAGGACTGCAATACACAGAAAACTCACTTTTTATAAAAGCCACACACAAAATTTAGAAGCAACAACTGCTCAGAACTACTGACAGGTGCTCAAGGATGGCACGTCTAGAAAACGCCAGCCCCGAGAACAGAGAACTCTACTTCCATCCCACTCAACCCCAAGCAGGCTGTTAACTCAGTAGGGGCAGCAGAGGGCATGCCTACTGCGTCGAGGGGTCAGAAGGCACAGCCTGAAGCTACGTACCCACTGCCAGGGCCAGCACGTTAGGGAGCGTCCGTGAACAGTAGAACATAAGGTGGAATTGCGTGGCTGTTATCCAGCAGAACATGGCAGCCACAGTGGCTCCAAACTGTCGTCTCACTTCTTTTTGTAATGTCCAGAGTCCAAAAATCACACCAAGCCCCAGGACTCCTCTGACTAAACAAACAATAAAGTCAGTGACGCACAGGAGGAGGCAGCACACGCAGGTGGAGAAGCAAGCAGCTCTGACTGTCACTTGCAGTGCTAGTCAGTGATAAGATGGCTGGAGACCACCTGATGGCTCACATTTGGTACCAGAAACAACCCGCCAAGCTGGGGCCTGTGTTTACACTGGGACCCACATCATCCAAGCCTCTGGCTTCCTCTCAGCCCCATGGGTTTTTCTGGCTCTTGCTGAACACTGGGCAAAGCTGGAGGGCGGTACTGGAGGGCAGGGTGAACAAAGCCTTTCTGTAGGGCAGTAATGGCGTAGCCCCAGATCGGCATGTGGTGGGAACACTGCTAGAGGGGCAGGAAGCTGAATGGGGACTGTTCCTGGGGCAAGTGGTCTTGTGAAGATAGGAGAGGTGGGGACAGGGCCAGACCCTCATAGTGGATAAGTTTTACTGGCCACTGGCCAGTGAATAAAAAGACCTAGTGATGGACTGTGGGACTGGCAGCCATGGGCATGACCTCAGGATAGGAGCTGCAGACCCAGAGGCTGACCCTGTCAGGCCCCAGGCTTCCCTCTTTCTGCATGCTGCTGGATTCAAAGTGCAGGTGTCGCAACTCTGGGGTTCTAGGCCTGTGTCTGCAGGTTCAGTTGCTGTACTGCTGCTACCAGGGAGCCTGTCAGGTGCTTCTGGTCAGTGCTCAGAGAAAGCTTTTATTTTCTTTGAGGCCTCATCTGATGAATCCATCACCTGAATCCTGGGGCTCCCCCTGCTTTCCCATCTTCCTAAGTATCTGTCTGGGTGCTGGTCAAGGGCAGTTGATCACACAACCTCCCTCCCAGAATGGCAATCATCACTCTGAGAGGAATTGTTTGGGCCTCATAAAGGGGCTGGTAACACCAGAAATTCCAGGTTTAGAGCAGCAAAGAAAAAAAACATTCATTGTGCAGGGGCACCTGGCGTGCCCAGCTCCAAATACCAAACCTCCACAATTTCCTTCATGGGTGTGGCCTGGCCCCTCCTTATCTGGGGTTCCCCGATGTCTCTACACATGGGAGCTACAGCCTGCAAGATGCCCTGTGCAGCAGCAAGGCTCCCGGTCCCAACCAGCCCATCTGAGAGGTGGGCAGAGCCTCCCAAGGACTCCAACTTTAAAGCCCTCCTCATAGGCTGGAAAAGCTGAAATCTGAATATGGCCAGACTGTTAGACACAGTGGAATATACTGAATTGGAAAAGTGTGATTGTTGACTAAAACAGTGTCAGGTTATGGAACAATGTGCAAGGAATGTTCTCAACCAGATATAAAAAAGCATGGGCACCAAGTGTAGACAGAAGGGTGAGCTCTGATCCCCAGCACAGCAGAGTGACATCAAAATAGCTAGAGAATCCCAACACTTGGGAGGCAGAGGCAGGTAGGTAGGGAGGTCAGGTCTCTGTGAGTTCAAGCCCAGCCTGGTCTATTTAGTGAGTTCCAGGCCAGTAGGTCTACATAATGAGACCCTGTCTTTAAAAAAAAAAAACAACAAAAAAAAAAACCTTTAGCGAAACCAGATGTGGTAGTTCACACTTGCCATCCCAGCACTTCAAGGTTGAGGCAGGAGGACTGTGAGTTCTAGGCTTGCCTGGACTACATATCGAGATCCTGCCTCAAAACAAAACAATTAAAATAACTAGAAGAGTTTCAGTGTTCTCAATACCTAGAAATGAATATGAGGAAACTGAAATGCTAAGTGCCCTGGTTTGATTATTACAGCATAGTCTGTGTTAAATTACTGCACTGTGCCCTACTAGTGGGTACAAATATTATGTGTCAATTACAAATTTTAGAAAGCACTCATAAGGGCACAGAGAGAGGCCGGGAAGATCTGCATCAGGTTGCTGTGATGACCGTAAACAGTGAGGTCTGTTTGTGCCTTCCCTGTGGAGGTGTGCAGTCTCTGCATCAGTTAAGGGCTCTGTGAGTTAGTGTGGCCCTCCAGCTGAGACAGGAGGAGAGGACTTTTGTCACTATTTCCTACTGAACCTGCATAAGGGCACGTTACAAGGACTTTGGTGGAGTGTAAGGCACAGTTCATACTTGCTGTCCCAAGTCTGGCTGTAAGGCTACAGTGACCAAGCACGGGCAAGAGTGAGCTGGACCTCCCCCAGTTCAACCTGAGAGCGTCTGATACCACAACAGTGCTTGGCCCCTTACCTATCAGCTGAGAATAAAACTTGGACACTTCCAACAGTGACAGCACATAAACAGCAGGGCTGGAGAACACTGCCATCAACAGTGGCCCAAGGAATGTTCTAGGGACAACTCCAGGGAACTCATGGTGGTCATACTGCAAGGAGAAAGAGGTCAGCCCAGAGGCCGGGGATGGGGTAGGGGGACGACCCAGATTCCCAGCCAAAAGCAGCAGCAGCCTTACCCTGTCTATGTCCAGCCGGTGATACAACAGGTCATGCGTGGCCTGCAGGTTGAAGCTCTCCTCCACCTTGGTGTAGGGACAGGTGACCAGGTGGATGGCAGCCACAGTGACCAGCAGCCCTAAAAGCAGCAGTGGCCGCCTACCTGATGACCTCTTGGCAGCCATGTGGGGCCTTAAACTTCAGGTACTGTCACAGAATCAAAGACGAGCAGCACCCAGAGTCCACACTGCTACCTGTGCATTTGGACAGAATGGAAACGTGGCTCCTAAGTCTCAGGACCCTTGCACTGGTGAAATGGAGGGCAAGAGCAAGACTGGTCCTTTGACCTGTTCTCATAACTCCTGTAAACCTAAATGTGAACCTAGGGGATGGCTCAGTTAGGAAGGCTCCTGGCCACTAGGCTAATGACCTGAGTTCAACCCTTGGAATGTACATCATGGAAAAAGAAAACTGGCTCCTGCATATTATCCTGACTTTCACACCACTAGGGCACACGTGCACTCACACCACCCCCACACACACAAGGAATAATAAATAAAATATAATAAAAAATTTAAAGGTGTTAAAACAGAAGTTAGAAGAAACATCATGTTAAAGGAGTTGTCACGTGCAGCTTCTCACATGTCACACTCTAAGGTCAGCTACAAAACCTGAGTTCGGCCTTTCTTGCACCAGGCCTGTATCCACCTTCATGGTTAACTCTGCTGGAAGAGTTTAGAAAAACCTGGGCTTGGCCTCATGACCCAGTCAAGAGAAATGGGCAAGAGGCTTCAATGCTGGGGCTGGTGGGAGATACACAGGGGATGAGGGAGGAAGAGCCAAAGAACAGGTTGGGCACAATATGACACAAGTCTCAGGGGAACTGAAAAGCCATGCGCCCCAGGGCTAAAGCACGAGGGTGTGGATTCCCTTAGGGCCACGCTGGGCTTTCCCAAGGGGGCATTATGATGGCCACACACCTGCACATGTGCCCTCAACCCTGCCTGCAAGTGGTCACCCAAACACTACTGGGATGACTTCAAGATGACCAACTGCCACCCAGAATCCTGGAGAAGGGTGGGGCTGGAAAGATGGCTTAGTGGGTAAAGACACAAGACAATACAAGCCTGATACAGGCTACCTGAGATGCAGTCTCAAAAAAGGGGGCGGGGAACCATGCCACCCTGAAGTGTGGGGTGTGCTAGCCTGGCCGTCTGGGCATCCACTATGCGCCCTTTGAAGGGAAATCCAAGCTGCAGAATCAAAGTTCTCTGCAGAACTCATGGGATCCTCTCACTCCAGGTCAGGGCACTTCCTCACAGGCAGAGGGGCATGTTTTCTGCTGAGGGCCAACAGCAGCACAGAACAAAGGTAACAGAAGACCAGGGTGAGCTGGAGTGCTCAACCAGGAGCAAGGAGCAACAAAAGGCAGACATTAACCAGCCCAGGAAAACATCACAGGGAACGGGGTGGTCCTGCTGGGCAGCTGCGCGGCAGGTCAAATGCTTTCCAGCATCCAAACTCAAAAAGGCCCAGACCAGACACTTTCGAGAAAATGTGCTTCAGAGAGTGATGGCACCTCAGATTAGGTAGTAGCTTCAAATACTTTGTTCTCCCTAAACACTGGGATCCAAGGCCTCCACTGAAATTGACCAAATGATGCATTCAAATTTCAAATTACATATTTAGGCTGGAAACAATCTGGTGCAGATGAGACCTGCTGTCAACCAAAGGCCAGACAAACAGGTGCTCTCTAAAATCCAGATAATTTACTGCTCCTCACACAGGCCATTTAAACCTTTGGAAGGTCACTGTGTGCCCAGTGCCTAAGGCCTCCGTGGAAATGTTCACACCTGGGCCCCAAACACATTGAGCCAGTCTCAGATGCAAACCCCAGTTCACAGGAGTCCAGTCCCAGGTAAGTCCAGTCCAGCCCACGAGTGAGGAGTCTAGCTCCCAGGGAGGGGTCAAGCCCCAGGTAAGGGGTCCAGCCCCCGGGGGAGGGGTCGGGTGACAAGTCCGACCCCCGGGTGAGTGGTTCGGCCTCCACGTGAGGCGTTCAAAGGCCGTCTTTCGCGCTAAGGCCCAAGGGACAAAGCAGCCCGCGCTGGCTCGGGACCTGCAGGTCTCCCCAGACGACCCCCAGTCTCGCCAACCCCGAGGATCCCAGCCCCCCAGCCCCGGCGACGCGAGCTGACCTCTCCAGATCTCAGCATCACCCCTCGGCACTCAGCCGACTGCCCTCAGCAGGAAACGAGCTGTGGTAACACACCACGGAAGCGAAGCCTTTGCTCGAAGTTAACATGGCCGCCACAGCACGGACCGCTGCGACCGCGGAGCTCCCTCTCCGCCCGGAGTAAAGATGGCCGATGCGGACAGCACGCGAAGGGCGGGGCTCGAGAAAGGGCTGGGCGCCTGCGGCCCCGCCCTGCTCTCGCGGGACGCTGACCCGGGGCCTCCCCATTGGTCGCTTCTCGTGGCGAGTCCGGATTGGGCCACGTCAGGCAGGGGCGGATTCCTCCAGCCAATGGCAGGGCGCCGTCTGCGGGCTGGGCGGGGCCTCGGTAACGCGATCAAGTAGCCCGGGGAACCGCCGGCGTGCGGGCCCGGTGGGCGGAGGCCGGGGCTCCGCTTCAGTTCGCCCCTGGTTGTCGGGCCGTCTGCCCGCCATGCGCCCGCCGCCACTAGCCGCGATCGGGCTGCTGCTGCTCCTGCTGCCGCCGCCCGCGGCCGGCTCCGACCGGAAGCGGACGCTGTGCCAGAGTTGCCGAACGGTGGTGGACAAGTTCAACCAGGTGGGCCGGGCGGCGGGGGGCCGGGCGGGACGGGGCCGGGGGCGGCGGGGTTCGCAGCGGACCCCCGAACCGGTGCCGCCGCCTCCCCAGGGGATGGCCAAGACGGCCAAGAAGAATTTCGGCGGTGGCAACACGGCGTGGGAGGAGAAGACGCTGTCCAAGTACGAGTTCAGGTGCGTGCGGCCGGCTCCCGGGGCCGACCCCCGGAAGGGTGCTTGGCGCAGCCCGGGTTCTCGGTCGTCTCCCCCGGAAGGGTGCTTGGCGCGGACCCCTCACCTCGGTCGTCTCTGCCTCCGGCCCCGCTCTGGCCTGTGGTTTCCACACGCCCGGTAGCCCACTGTCCACACACTCAGGATGGCATTGGGGAAGGCAGGCTGGAGCCCCAGTCCTCCTGGGGACCCCGGGCTTCCCAGGCAGGTGGCTTAGGCGCTGGTTCCCATGCGTGGTGCTGAAGGTCCCTGCATCCCTGGGTACTTACTTGTAGTGCTTGTGGTTGTGTCGGCTCCCTCTTCGGGAAGATGGGCTTGGGACATGTCTGAAGTGAGCAGACAGGTGCTTTGGGGCGCTGGCGCCTTGGGGTACTGACAGGTTGTGTTTCAGTGAGATTCGTCTCTTGGAGATCATGGAGGGCCTGTGTGACAGTAGTGACTTCGAGTGCAACCAGCTCTTGGAGGAGCAGGAGGAGCAGCTGGAGGTCTGGTGGCTGCATTTGTAAGTACCCAGGACTCCGTCTTCTGACCACCTTGCAGTCTCTTCCTAGAAGGAAATTGCAGAGTCAGTGGCAGCCCCATGCCCCTGTCCTGTTTTATGCGTGCACTAGGATCATTTTTACCAGAGCCCAGCTCTTAGGGTCAGGTCCTACGCACACCTGACTTTAGTTCCCCCCTCAGATAGCCTTGGGGGTTTGTCAAGTGCTCCTTACCCCAAGTCTCTGGCTGCAGGTTCGTTTCCATGGTAAACCTCAGCCTGAAGATAGGAGCAGAAAATTCAGAGATAAGCAAGTCCCACTGCATCACACTCTATGTTGTTAATACTGTCACTGGCCTCTTACTGTGCCTAGTTATTGACCTTCTCGTGGGTGTGTATGTGCACTCAGGTGGTTTATATGTGGTTTGACACCATCCAACACTTCAGGCACCTCCCAGGGTAAGAGGGGATGAGTGCATGTGTTATAGGGAATTCCTGTCTGGTGCTGGGAACTGAACTCATGCTCCTGTGTGTGCTAAGCATGTACTCTACTGCTGAGCCATGCCCCCAGCCCAGCATTTTTGTTTTGAAGACCTCTGTCCATGGGATTTAGTGACCACTTCTAAATCCTCAGGAAGAAGGAGCACCCTGACTTGTTTGAGTGGTTCTGTGTACACACATTGCGAGCGTGCTGTCTTCCTGGCACCTATGGGCCAGACTGCCAAGGTATGTTTTTCTTGGGAATCCCAAGTCTCCATCTTCCTTGTTACCCTCCCTCTCTGACTCCCTTGCACTTAAAAGCACAGAGGGGACCCAGGCAGCAGGAACTTTCTGTGGAGTTGGGGACCTTTTCCCTCAAGAGGGTAGCTGCTCACTTCCTTCTGGTGCTGTGGACCTGGACCAGAGGCATTACTACCACTGTGGACTGTGGACTACAGGGGGCTTCTCCTTTGCTCTCCAGAGCTCTGGTCCTGATGTATTTTTGTTGTTGTTGTTGCTGTTGTTGTTTTTTGGTGGTGGTGGTGTTTTTGAGACAGGGTCTCCCTATAGCCTCAGCTGTCCTAGAACTCACTATGTAGACCAGGCTGGCCTTGAACTCACAGAGATCCGCCTGCCTCTGCCTCTGTGCTCCAGAGACCTGTCGATAGGTGCTGAGAGTGATGGGCATGTCAGGATGGCCCTGTATGAAGCATCCTTGAGACTAAAGCCACAGTTTACTGTCTGGGTGTTACAAAAGCTAGTCATGGTCACTCTGGATCAGGTGGCAACAGTTTCAGTTTCAGGCATACACACACAGCCACCCCCACCCCCTACAGACTGTAGCCGCCTCTTGCTTCTACATCTCCTCTTTTCTGGGCCATGTGCTGAATGCAGCAGTAAATACTCTCCCAGGCACTTGATGTGCTGTCCTGCATGAAGTTGTTGAGAGCTGTAGCTGGCTCCCCACAGGCAATGCAGTATTGGTCCTGCAGGCCCCAGGTTCTACTGTCTATTCTCAGCCACTCTCCATGAGCACGCAGGCACCTATTTCATCAGCAGCAATGGGGCCTGGTTTGGGTTGTGAAGGATCCCAGTGGCTATTAGGTGTGAACATGCTGAAGGATGCTGTGGCATTCTTTATGTGAGACCAGTCCAGCCACTGGCCACCCTGGTGGGGCATGCTCTGAGTCTAGGTTTGTGTTCTCCAAGTATGCCAGGGTGGGTCCAAGAGGCCCTGCAGCGGGAACGGCCACTGCAGCGGAGATGGCAGCAGACAGGGGGACGGGTCCTGCCAGTGCCATGCAGGATACAAGGGACCACTGTGCTTTGATTGCATGGATGGCTATTTCAGCTCACTGAGGAACAAGACCCACAGCATCTGCACAGGTAAGCAGCAGCACCCAGCCCCGGGCCAGCCTGCCTGATGGTGAGGCTGTGCAGAGCAGCCTTCTGCTAGAGCTGCATAGCTTTGATCAGAGTGCCTCTTGACCCCCACTTAGCCTAAGGTGCCTGGTTCAGTTCAGGATGCCTAGCAACATGGCCTTTAAAAAGCATCCCTGAATTACCCAGAAAGGAAAGCTGCTTGCTTCCTCTTGAAGCCCTTCTGGGAATGACTTGGAGATGCAGTACATTTGGGGTGGGCAGGCTGTCACTCCTATGCTAAGTGCCCTTAGTTTTAGACCTAGCACTTAATAGTGGGCCATACTGGAATGTTCTGGTAAAAGGCTTGCTCCCAGCCTGTGGCTGTCCCTGAAGGATGAACAGGTCCTTGTTTCCTGCCAAGTGTCTGTGGGTTTTGGGAGGCAAAGTACAGGGACACAGTCACTCAGACAACTTCTCAGAGGGAACAAGGACCTGGTGGGCCCATGAGAGATAGCAGCTGCACAGGGGAACAGGACCTTTGAGGCTGTTCATGAGACCTGGGCTACTGTTCCAGGCTTCTCCCTTGACTGGATTCAGCTCTGCCTGTCGGGTCACCCAAGGGAGCACAGTCCTTGCCAGCTTCCTGTGCAACATGCACAGGACAGCATCCGTGGTTGGCAGTTCACACTTTATAAATAATGAGGAAATTTTGTGTAGTGCATCTCCATGTCACTAATTGGAAGCTGCGTGTTGGCTCAGAGCTAAGGGATGCCTGTTTTCATTTTTTATTTTCCTGCTGAGCTTAAATCCTCATTCTTAAAGTAAGCTTTCCTCTGTGTTAGGGGATGGGACCCTCTTCCAGAAGGGCCTTCCTAACATAGCCTTTGCTTTCCAGGCTGTGATGAGTCCTGCAAGACATGCTCAGGTCCAACCAACAGAGACTGCGTAGAGTGCGAAGTGGGCTGGGAACGTGTGGAGGATGCCTGTGTGGGTGAGGAGGGGTGCCAGGGAGAGGCTTCTCATAGGGGGAGACTTCCAATGAGATTGACTCTGGTTCGATGCCCTCCATCTCTGCCCTACCCTGGGCTGTGAAAGGACTCAGATCTAGTGCCCCCACCACAACATTGTGGGGGGCAACATTGTGGTCTGGGGGCATGCCACCCGCCATGGCACCACTGCTGTGCCCGTCTCCATGGCCACCATCCAGTTCTGCGGCCTGTCTTCTTGCCACGTGCCCCTGTCATGCTGCAAACCCTGTGCTGTGGCCACTCAGTAGAGCTGTCACTGAGTGGGTCTCCCTGCAGCCCAGGTGTCTGCCAGCTGCCCTTCTCCCTCCTCTGGTGCTGGTTTTGGTTTCACCACTCAGCAGCTGCTTGGCCTTAGGCAAATTAGGAACTCAGCCCCAATCTGGTTTCAAGCCTTGAGGAGGGGAGCAGAGGGAGGACAGGAGTGATAGGATGGCATGCGCTTGTGTAGAAGCCTAAGTGTTCCATGCCCGTTGTTGACAGCCTCTCTACCCGGCTGTCACCTGTCCGTACTTCTGCTTAGGAGGGGTCCTCTGCCTGGGGCTGGCTTCTTCCTCTGACTGCGGTGTGTCGAGCACTGAGCTATTGTCTGGGTGGTACCTCGGCCCCAACATCCTGGGCTGGGCTCACAGTCTTGCCATTCTGTTCCAGATGTGGACGAGTGTGCAGCAGAGACACCTCCCTGCAGTGACACACAGTACTGCGAGAATGTGAACGGCTCATACACATGTGAAGGTGACCTGGGTGCTGGGGTGACCTGGGGCTGGGTCCTGTCATCCTCGCTCACTTCTCTCTTCCTGCAGCATGTGTGACTAGCGTGACCCCTCGTGGTCTGCTTTAGAAACTACTTCCTGCAGAAAAGCTCAGCTGTGTTGAGTCAGTTTTTTCTACATCACAGTAATTTTAGAATATGTCCTATTTCAGGCTCTTTCTGAACAATCTGAGCATTTAAGTCTTACCAGTCTTTTCCCTTACAGGGAAAACTTTTCACACTCTTTGTTTCCCTTGGATGACTTCCAAATGACCAGCAAGGGCAAATGTTTTAGGGCCTTAGCAATTCGTTGTGCCAAAAGCATGGATGAGGTGGTCACCCCATCCATGGTTCTGTCGGGCAGTGCTGACTGTCATGTCCTTGCAGTGAATGTGACACCAGGCTCTGAGAGCCTTCAATCTCCACCTGGCTGTTCTCACCAATCTCTTGGTGGGGAGCAAACTGTCACCAGGCCTGGGGTGACTTGCTTGTGAGGTTCTGGGGGCAGGGTGGTTCTGTGGGATGCTGTTCACCAAGTGGATCTGACATCTTTCTCTACTTATTTCTAGAATGTGATTCTACTTGTGTGGGCTGCATAGGAAAAGGCCCAGCCAATTGTAAAGAGTGTGTGTCTGGTTACACCAAGGAGAGTGGACAGTGTGCAGGTCAGTGTGCTATCTGCTAGAGAAGGTGGAACTTTCTAGAAGGAACACATCAGTTATCTGAGGAGCCCCTTGTGGGTGGAAACCTCTCAACAGATATATGCTTCCTAAGCTTTTCTTAGGGAGTATGGGGTCTACCTCTGTCCAGTATTATGGTGCCAGCTTGAACCTACACTTAGCTGAGCTCCACATCACCATCAGCTTCCCAGGAATTTGGCCCTCTTGACTTGAGGTCATTTCCACTGTTTTTGGGAACTGCCCAGTGCTCTGGGCTTCCCATCTTCACTGTCTGGATGCCTCTGCCCTGTAGCTGAGGCTAGTCACTGAGCCCAGGAAGCTCTCTTTCTGGAACCTTCCAAGCTCCACTTTCTCTGATGAGCATTCATGATCCCATTGCTCTCATTGGGGAATGAATTATGAGTGAATGAGTCTCATATTCTGCGTGTGTGTGTGTGTGTGTGTGTGTGTGTGTGTGTGTGTGTGTGTTTGCAGTTGTTTACTGAAATGGAGTGTTTTTATTTCAGACATAGATGAATGCTCACTAGCAGAAAAAGCATGTAAGAGGAAAAATGAGAACTGCTACAACACTCCGGGAAGCTTTGTCTGTGTGTGTCCTGAGGGGTTCGAGGACACAGAAGATGCTTGTGTACAGACAGCAGAGGGTGGTGAGTGGCACAAGGTGGTCGCAGCAGGCCCCACTCAGTGTGGCTTGCCCTTCCCAGGCTGGGGCTGACCAGACACTTGGAAACTGCTGCTCCAGGATAGCTCAGAATACAGGCTGGGTCAACGGGTGTCTGTGGAGGAAGAGGAGGGAGGCAAAGACACACAGCCCCCTAGGGCATGGGCTCTGCAGGGGCTTCTAGCAGAATGATCTGAAGTTCTGGAGCCATAACCCAAGGTCAGCATCTTGGTGGCTGACTCTCTAAGGTTGTAAGGGAGGGTCTGCTCAGGCCTTCTAGAACCTTCCCAGTCCTTGCATGGTCTCCATGTATCCAAGCTTTCCCTTCTCATAAGGACACCACTGATCATCTGACCAAGGCCCATCCTGTGACCCAATCTTACCAATCACATGCAAAGATCCTGTGAAGCCATCTTCACAGGTGCCAGGCAGGACCTTTAGTCCTTCTCCTTGGGAGACAGTACAGTCTGACAGGCTTATGGATGTGCAAAGAGGGAACTGGCAGTGTTCACAGAGGCTAATAGTGACCAAAAGTTTCCCAGAAGCCCATCCTGAGCAGGGCAGACAAACACACATCCATGCCATGCCTAGGCGTACTGTGGTCACCGTGAGGCACTAAGGACCAAGGAGTTTAGTGGCTGGGTGACAGGATTGCCTGCTCTCACCGCTTGCTTCTACCTCCCACATCACTCACCCTCACTGTTCAGCCTCTGGTTAAGGCTCTGAAGTGCCTGTCTGGTTGCTTCAGCTGGGTGCTGGGGCGCTTCCTGAGCTACCCTTAGAAAGGTGCTGGGTCAGGAGGAAGCCAGGTTTCTGTCCTCAGGGGCATGAGTCAGCAGGTGTCCCAGCACTCATCCAAACCCATCTTCAGGGTCCTTCAGCCCTGGGTACTCATTCAGTGCTGGGGGCTCATCCCATGACCTACGTGTCATGTCTTATAGAAGTTGCAGAGGAAAACCCCACACAGCCACCTTCCCATGAAGATTTGTGACAGGCACCCAGGGTCAGAAGCCAGACTCACCCTTTAAGTTATTGAGAAGTTGTCCTGTAGACAACGAGGACCATGGTCATCAACCCCATTTCTCCAGGAGGACGTTGGAGGGAGAAGCTGCAGTCTCTAAATGGTTGATACTCACTTGGCCCTTTAAAAAGCTGCATTTCTTGGTTGTTCTTAAACAGATTCATATATTTTGATACTGTTGTTTATAATAAAATTGATCATTGAAGGTGGCCAGGAACAGAACATGTTGGTTTGTTTCCCTGAGAACATAGACCTTCAACACTGTTCAGTTTTATCTGACCTCCTACAGCTGGGACAGTTGGAACCCTGTGTCTGCAGAGAACTCAGAGTCTCGAGATCTCAGCAGGCATCTGGAGAGTTGTTCCTGAACAGGTGTCCTGTGTGACAAGTGATGGGTGGGTCCTGGCCTGTGCTGTGGTCTCCCTGCCTCAGGCAAGCAGATTGAGGCTCTGGATGTGTTTTCCAAAGACCCTGTGTTTAAGATTTGGCCCCCTGCTGTAGTGTTGCCAGGAGGTGGTGGAGCCCTTAAGAGTTGGGGTCCAGTGGAAGGTGGGTGTGCCCTCAAAGGGGGGTGCTGCCCGAATTCCATCTGGGTCTCCTTCGTGATCAGGCAAACCATATATTTTATGTCCATTTATTTATTAACTTACAAAGGAATGAGTACCCAGTGCCTAGCCACATGCCTCCAGTGGCGCAGCTCAGAGCCCGCCATATCAGACTGCCACAACTACCATAGTCCCTGCTAGCATTCGCTCACGCCTCGGGGCCAGTGATTTCACTCCAGCTCCATAAGAATCAGTCCATTCTGTCCTTGAGCTGCTGCAGCTGGCTGTGCGTCACCCGCAGCTCCCAGCTTCTGTCCCAAGATGGCTCCCAGCAGCTCCTTTGTAGTTTATGCTCTGCATCAAGCCCCGCCCACCAGAGGAACTAGCCAATTGGAAGACACTCCACCCCTTTCCTCTGCTCTTACAACCTTCCTGTCCATCTTCAGCTAAAGTCCCTGAGCCTTGGAGGGAGTGATAGATGTAGGACGATCTCTCTTGTATCATGGCAAGATAGTGACTTCTTGGGCCTCCCCATTAGCTGTCTTTAGGCCATGGCCTAAAGATAAATGGAAGGAAGTAGACACATTTAAACAAACATGAATGTAAATACAAATGCCTAGACAACATCCCAGTAGGTGTACTATACTCATTAAACAGTATACTTGTGATGGATCCCCACGAGGGCCTGTAGCCTGTCTCAACACGAGACATTGGCCTGGTCTACAGCACCAGATGTGTGTTCCACCCCTAGAAGCGGGTCTTATCCAATTAGAAATTTGTCAGTTGTACATGTGTTGGTCAAGCCATTGTTGCACTTGCAGGCATTGCTTGGCATGTCCACAGTGTACAGCACACGGGGTCCATCGTTGAGTAGAATTATAGGGGATCCTTTCTTCCCCAACCATCCGCATCAATATGAACGTCATCCAGTCAGTGGCACGGAGTTTTCTGGCTGAGTTTCAGTTCCATCTCTTCTCCCGCGCTCACAACATGCGGTGTCCTCAGCACCATGGCCTGACTGACCTTTCTAGTGTAAACCAACATTAGTGGTAATAGCCGTGGTGAATTGGAGGACCTCAAGCATCTCTCTCTGATCAACAGCTCATAGGGAGGCACCCCACCCTGGTACTGTAGATTTTCTTAGCAGTTGTATAGTTTGGGAGTCTCTATCCTCATCTTACCCAACCTACATAAAACTCCCAAGAATCTTACAGCTCTGGTTGGCCTTTGCTTCTTCGGGTATCTTTCAAATGGGTTTCACATCTGTAAAACACTGGAAGGAAAGTTAACATATTAAATCACTCATAGACAAAGTCTCAAAGCATGGAAAGGTTTTGTCCATTCATATTAACTGTTTTCTCCATAGATCCTTGTAAGGTACCATAGCGTGGGTACGAGGCATTAACTTGGTTAATACACTTACAGGTGTTGTCTCCAGCTGCCTGACCCTGCACTGGGCTAAGGAGGCAGGGGCTTCTCCTGTCCCTGCTGCACTTGTATGTTCCCTGAGTCAGACAGGCTCTGGGTCTGCCTCCTGACTGTAGCCACAGCTGTCACCTTCCCATTGACCACAGCAGGTTGCTGGGGGAGAACTTGGTGGGAAACCCTGCTTCCACCCCTAGTATAGCCTCTATCAGAAGAGAAATGCATCTTATTTAATCCTTGGGGATTCTTAACCACCCCTGGGACAGTTGTTATTCTTCGAATGTCCTTTATAAACTTCTGGTTTTAGAACCTTCCAGAAATGCCTTAGTACCGAGTTTGGTTTTCTATCAATTTTTTCTCTGGGAATTTGGGCTTGACATAAGTCTTGCCACAATTGTCTTCAAGTAACCCAAATGGACCATTTTTTTCCTTTCTGGTCTTTTATCTCTTGTAGGGTGTTCTGTTATTCTAAAAACATGTTTTACCTGTTGGTCAGAATCATTTAGATCTGCTAAAGTCTCTCTCATGGTACAAAGATCCTGTCCCATCAAAGGGCTTAGCAAAACCATTAAAGCCCCATACCATTCTCAAAGTTTCAGTTGAATTAACCTTTCCATTGGTGAACACGGTCTCATCTGGCCCAGTGAACTGGACATCATACATTGTTTTTCTCATACCTAGTTCTCTCAGTAATGCCTGCCTGTCCTTTATAGTCCTCCAGCCCCTGCTAATCATGTTAGTCTCCCTTGGTGACAACCATGTATCTTTAATGCCTTTAACCAGCCACCCCATTAGAGACTGCTCCCCACTGCATTGGCCTAGGTTGAACAGCCTATATCGCAAGGATGGATGGGTGGTCCTATAACTCAGCTGTGAAGCTTCTGAAGGACTTAGACTGATGTCATTTGCTCTCATGTCCCATACTCTACCAAGCCACGTGGCCAGGGGCTCTCTGCTTGCTTGTTTGTAAGTTTTTCCTAGTCTGAACAGTTCTAGCATGGAATATGTCCTAGCTACAGCAGAGTTAGTTTTTTTCCCCTTTTTCCTATTATCTGTCTTTTCCTCTGAGTCCTTGGACCTTACACAAGTCAAAGGGTCCCATCTTTTTTCTCTCTCCAGCTCTGTGGATGGGTCTGTCAGTTCAGCCTGTTCAGCTTCCCCTGCCTGGGGCACACCTTTCATGATGCAAAGTGGCCACTCTCTCTCTCTCTCTCTGGGAGCTCCATTTGGGTCCAGAGCAGGTGAAAGATTTTCTAGCCTTTGGGTAACCTTTAACAAATCTTCACATACCTGCAACATATCCCCACATTCACAACATAGCTGTGGCCCACGCTTCTGCGTGGCTGGCTTCTTTTTAGTTATACATTTTATGATCCATTGTATAACCCATATGACTATCCCTCAGCCCATTAAGCATATGGGTTTTGATTGGCTTCTCTCCTGGATTTGGGACTCAGAGCTCAGCTGACCTGCCACAGAGGCAGCAGGAACAGCACTGCTTTCTGAGGCCCACATCCCCAAGGCTGTGGTTCCTTTATCCTGCCGACTATGCCAGTTTTGCTGCCCAAATTCCCTCTGGTCTCCTGCGTGATCAGGCAAATCATATAATATATTTTATGTGCATTCATTAACTTACAAAGGAATGAGTACCCAGTGCCTAGCCCCACGCCTCCAGTGGTGTGGCTCAGAGCCCACCATATCAGACCACCATGACTACCATAATCCCCGCTAGCATTCGCTCACGCCTCAGGGGCCAGAGATCTCACCCCAGTCCACAAGAGTCAGTCCATTCTGATCTTGAGTTTCTGCGGCTGGCTGCACGTTCCTCACACCACACGCTACCCGCAGCTCCTGGCTTCCATCCCAAGATGGCTCCCAGCAGCCCCTTCGTAGTCCATGCTCCGTGTCAGGCCCTGCGCTGCCTCACCACAACCCAGAGCAGTAGGGCCAGTTGAATATCCACTGGCGTCCTTAAACTGTGGGCCAGAATAGCTGTCCCTCTTTTGATGCTGACAGCCTGTGAGCCTGCTGTGTCAGTGTTGTCAGCAGCATTTAAGTAGGGACCCTCAGGACATTAGGGCCTGAGCTGGAGGGAGGAATCCAGCCCAGATTACAGCAACAGTTCAATAAGCGTGAAGAAGTCCAGAAAAATCCGGCTGTGGGTTGAGTGTGGCCTTTGGAACCCCGTCCCTGGGCTCTCTGTGCCTGCTCTGCCAGCATGGTGCTGGACCCTGCCTCTGCTCCAGCCCTCCAGGGCTCTGGGTTCCTGATGTCCTCAGAGTCCTCTTGGACTGGGCCCACCACTCCACTCCTCCCTGCCATGCACACCATGCAACTGTCCTGCCCTGTCTCCATAGCCAGCCCTATGCCAGCTGGACCCTCTGTAGTTACTCCCACCTGGATGTTAGAATGAATGGAGTCCCTGCAGGCAGGATGCTGCCCTGAGAGTCCTGGTGGGTAGGCAGTAGCGCCCCACCTCCCCAGTAGGCTGATGGCTGATGTGTCGACTTGGCTTCTGCCTGGCTCTTTCCTCCAGAGGGAACGCAGAAGTGGGCTGTTCTTATCCAGCTAGGATAGGGAGTTTATGGGGGCACTTAGATGGTCAGCAAGCTGGCACAGCAGTCCTGTGTTCACACTTGTATGTGCAGGCCCAGCACCCACTGGTTCCCCAGTGTTTGTACCATAGCTGGTTCTCGGGACTGAAGGCAGACAGATGCCACAGCCAGCCATCCCCTGAATGCAGAGGGGCCAAGTGGCTCTGTGTCTCCACAGGGCCAGGGAGGAAACGCATACCCAGTGGGGGGCAGTTCGCCTGGGTGCCTTCTCCCGTGGATGGCACTTCAGGCACCTGAGGAGCTGGGCATGGGGGGGTACTGTTTAGGCACTAGCCATTATGGGGCCTGTGGCCTTGGACCAGGTGTTCCTGCCACTGGGATGTGCTCTGGTGGGAACTGTGCTCCCACCAACTTGGCCTCACAGACCTGGCACCTCCTCTCTGGCTGGGGTAACTACTGCTTTCTCACTGGTGAACAGGCAAATGTTAAAGGTAGAGATACCTGGTTCCACAGGAGGCAGAGAGACTTGGCATGGGACAGGGGCTAGACGGGTGCAAACTAGCAGGAGGGATGGATGGGCCCTAGTAGGGCCCCATGAGGCACAGAACGAGTACAGGCGGGATCCCTGATCAAGGTGGCGATCCCTGATCAAGGTGGCCAGGGGTTCACAAACTGAAGATGAAGGACAAGGG